CCGAGGGAACAGCCAGGGAACTGTGCTGGTGTCGGCGCTGCCGGCATTCCTGCTCCTGCCAGAGCCCACCCTGGCACGGCTCCGGCTCCGGGCCTCGCATCCTGTGCCACTTCCCAGGCTTTGGTCGCTCTCCCTGCAGGACGGAACGTACCCAGGGAACCGGGGGTGAAACCCCCACGCCGTGGGGAGGGGAGACCCCAGGAGACTCTAATCTATCTATTGGCAGAGTTAAGGCTATAATATTCTATCTACAGAGGATGGCTGAATCCCTAGTGGTCTCTGGGGCTCAAAAATAAAAGGAGAAGGTGGTGATGGCTTGAGGAGCGGCAAGGTTCCCACTCCCTTGGGAAAACAGCGCCTCTGGCCGGCTGGTGGTGGGCTTCGCTCCGGCTGGGGGGGGCTATGTCCCCTTCCCACCACACCCACACGTGGAGGGCGAGTCCACAAGTTCATTTTACGCTTCAATCCAGCGCCGAGGGCCCTTGGCCAGAGGCAGAGGCGTGCCCCGGGGCGCTGGACGGATCCGGGGTGCGGGTGGGTGCTGGGACGTGTATGGCTTATCAGCTACGGGGCAGGGGGCTGGGGGTGCTCAGTGTGGGTGCTCAGTGTGGGTGCTGTGCCCGCCCCACCTCTCTGCACTTGGGGCTGGCCTTACTTTGGGCTGGATTTGGGGCTGGCTGCCCAGTGGGAAGCACACACAGGTCTTCTTGCCCCGCTTGCTTTGCAGGGTGTGGAAGCAAGTGTGCATCAAGCCACAGGGCCTGGCCAGTCTCGCAGCCAAACCAAGGAGCTGGAGAGGAGCCAGCTCCTCCACATGGCCCGGAGACATCCATGCCCCAGGCTGTGCCAGCAGGACCCATGTGCCCAGCTGGCTGCAGCCCCCCAGCCCCTCTCTCCTGGCTCCAAAGGCAGCGGAGGCAGCAGCAGCGCTGGCTGCAGGCCCTGCATCCCTCTCCCAGCCTCTGCAGCCTGCAAAGCTGCATCCATCACCCACCAGCACCCAGCTCAGCATGGGGGTGATGCTGGGGGCTCGGGCCACGCCAGCACGAAGAATGGCTTTGACAGCAAAGTGGGTGACCCCGGGGCAAGCACCGAGCACTCCGGTTTGCCAGCAAGGGAGGCAGGGGAATGTCAGCTCTGTGACTGCTCTGACCCCCCATTTGCTGAGTGGCAAGTGCCTCATTACAGTGCATAGTTAAAAATCAAGGAAGCGGTACAATAAATCTGAATTACAGTACATCTGAGCCATAAATACATTTTTTTAAGTATATACTTTTTTTTTCTTCTCTTCTTCTATTAAAAATTAGTTTATAATCCTGATTCTATTCACAATGAACAATTTCATCATCACACACTACGGACAAAAAAATGTTATGGTGAACACAGCTGCAACTCCACGGCGGGAGCATGGGGAGGGCTGGGAGGGGGAAGAGGGGCCGGGGGGCTCCTAGGCTCACCCTAAAACAACCAGTCAGAAGCAGAGGGGGGACTAACGTGTGGCAGTGAGACATCAACACCATGGGGACTCACAGACAGAAGCAGCTTTGTTCAATGTAAACATCGATCAGGGGACAGCAGTCTCTCTCTCGCGGGCGTGCTCTCGCTCTCTCTCGCTCTCTCGCTTGCCATAGACTGAATAATTTCTTTGAAAACGTAAACATATTGGAAGTGCCTTGACTGAGGTATTGAGGTATTCCTCCAAGGTTAAGGCTGTTACCGATGCAGGCTGAGCTGGGCCTCCTGCAGCAAGCTGTCGAAATCCATGGTCTCGTACTTGCTTTTCACCGGAGCTGGGGACGACTCGTCCGTGCCGCAATCTGGGGGTGGCAGGGACAGAGGACAGCCGGGTCAGGGAGGGGGATCAGCGCCCTGTCTGCCTCGTGGGGAGGGAAACTGAGGCACAGCAGGGCACTGCTCACTGCCCTGCTGCTGCACAGCCAGGCTGGGCACAGCGGTGATGGTGACAGTGAAAAGAGAGGGGCTGCAGCCAGGCCAGGGCACACACCACTGGCATTCACTGCCAGGGTGAAAAAATCTCCTGTGTGCAGCTGAATTTGGAAGGGCTGACACAGGGCCATGCCATGGGAGCCGTGCTGGTGGCAGAGCCTGCCTGCTCCACTGCCAGCCCTGTGCCAGGAGCTGAACACAGAGTGCCCCTGGAAAGCCCAGGGAATTCAGCACACAGCAGAACCAAGGCTGCCGAATTTCACAGCATCTTAACAGTTTGGGTGTGTATTTTTGATTGGTGTGGTTGCATTTCCCCTCTGCCTGGGGGCTCGCCTTCTCACCCTGTAGCAGGATGAGCAGGATTTTAGGAATGAGCTGGGCTGTGCAGGAAGGGGGTGACCAACCCTGGTGGCTCTGCAGAAGTCAGGTGAGGAGCACTCAGGGGGCTTCTCTTAGGCAGGGGGACAGCTCTGGCCCCCCTCCCCACTGCACTGCACAGTCACCATCTTCCTCACAGGGTGCTATCTGGTTCCTAATTTCTCTGTGTCCAAAATGGGAGGCTCTGGGATTTATTTAGATGAAAATTGGACACTTGTGCCCACAATCAAAGTCAAGGGATGGCTGCTGTAAGCAGAGCAGATACTGCAAGGTGATAAAAAAACCAGGGAGTACTTGAATCAGATGGGGCATCTGGAGGTAAGTCAAGACTTGGGGCTTTATTTTCTGGACCTCAGTCTTTCACTCATCAAACCCTTCAGCCTCTGCGGAGGGTACAGAAATAAACATGCAGTGCTGGTGAAACACCTGAAGCAAGGAGGGCTGGGCAAAGCCTGGGACACATTTCTCTTGCAAGACTAGCACAGGGTTTGGCTCCTGGCCCTCAGCTCAGGCTGCAGCCCTGGTGACACAGTCACTGAGACCTTGCTGAAGCACTGAAAGGATTAATGCGAGCACAGCACATTTCAGTGCTGTCACTTTGGCTCCAGAGTGCATGTGCAGCCTGGTGAATCTGTCCTGCAGAGCAGCAAACCACCCACATCACCTCTTGGGCTAATGAAATGTTGCTGACTGCCTTCTCTAATGCCTGGAAAGGGAGTTTTCTGCTGGAAAGCCTCCAGCACTGTGCAGAAACTCAGCAGACACAGGATGGGCTGCGCTCAGCTGAGACCCAGCACCCCGGGCTGTGATGCTCCATTTTGCAGCCAGCACACCCTGAGGCCTCACACCAGTTTCCTTCCTTCTCCCCAGTTCCCCAATCCACCTGTGTGAGCCATGAGCCATAGGAAAGGCAGTGGGCCTCTCCTGCAGGCTCTGCAGGCGTTGGGGATCCCTGCGTGACCAGGGCTCAGCGGTGCACTGTGCTCTAACAGCTCTGTGCTGATAAAAGAGACAAAGCAGCTGCTGCTTCCTCACCCAGGTCAGCGTATCTGGTCCAGAAGAAGCGCCCCAGGCCACCAGAGCTGAGCTGGAAGGAAGGCTCGTTCCTCTTCCTCAGCGAGGGGCCGTTCTTCAGCGATAAGGCGGCGTGCTCGGAGTAGCGGTATGTGATGAAGCCGTACTTCTCTCCCCTGGGCAACCAGAGAGAGAATTCAGGATGTGATGAGCCCCACAGCCCTTGTGATGTAGCACTACACCCCTGGCCCATCATTCTTCCCCTCCTCCATCCCACAGATGCCCTTGGAGCTCTGGGCACACTGAATCTCCTTGACAAAAGCACCGAGACCGAGGGCTCGGCTGACCCAGGGGATTGATGTGGCACTGCCTGGCGGTGCTGTGGGGTTTGAGGAGAGGAGCTGCTGGTGGCTGCTGGAGCCAAGGCCACAGCTCACTGCCCACCCACCTGTTAGTCCTGGTCAGGACCTGACACTCCACGATTTCACCAAACACCTCAAAGCGTTTCTTCAGCTCGCTGGAGCTCATGCTGCTGGAGAGGTTTCTGATGTACACCACCCGGCCTTCCCCCTGCCAAAGCAACCAAAAGCTTTCAGGCTTGGAGCCTGCACCTCTGTGCTGCTGATGGGCTGTGGAGGAGGCCCTGCAGCCAGCACTGGGAAACTCTGCCATGGACACAGCCTGACATCTCCAGGATCTGGAGCCAGGTCACAGTGTCACCCCCAGGACAGCCATAACCAAGCTGGAGCAGCCACTGCCCCCTTTTTTCTTTTATATTCTCCTTCATTCTTGCAACTTCTCCTGGCAAATGTGGGATACAGTCCCAAGAATTGCCAGTGGCAAAATCCAATTGCATTGCAGGAAGAAGTGCCAAAGCAGCATGTGTGAGTGTGAGTGTGTGTGCACAGCAGTAGGGAGCACCAATTTACTCTCCCACGTGCCCACTCCTCTCCCAGCTCCCTCCATGTGCCCACAGGTTCCTGGTGCACGAGGATGCAGCAGGGCCATATCTGTGCCATCAGGGATTCCCCAGTTCACCCCACAAACTGCCAGTGCCAAGTGCACTGAGGCACCAGCGTAGGAGGCTCTGGGCATCCCTGTGCCAAGGACTCCGTGTGTTGCCAATCGCTGGCGGCTCCTGCTGCACGTTGGGTTTTCCTCCCCCCACCAGCCCCTGTCCTTGTTTAACACTGGCCTCGCACCAAGGGATGCTGAAGCCAGGGCTAATGGGCTCCACTGCTGCTTTTGGGAGCAGGAGATGAGCCGAGGGCTGGCCTTGCTGTGTCCCCTCACTTACGATGGCCTTTTCCCGTCTCTTCTTCAGCTGGCCCCGCTGCCCGCTGCCGCCCTGACACTGCTCGCCGTTCTCACACCTGCAGGGAGGGACAGGAGCTCAGCCCGGGGCTGGGGGAGCTGCTGGGAAAGCTTCAAACATCAGTGAGAAGCTGAGACACCCACAGGAGTGGGGGCACTGGGAGCCAAGGAGAGACTGGGGTCTGGGCTCACTGGAAAGGACACTGCAAAGCTTTTTCTCATAGATGCCAGGGTGTCCCCAGGCAGCACCTGCCCCTTCCCAGGCCTGGGTCCTGCCCATGCCCTGCCACCCATGGAACCCCCTGGCTGCTTCAGTCCTCCACGGCTTCCTCAGGCCATGGCTGACACTTGCAGCAGTGGCTGATGCAGTACCAATTATTTTCATCGTTTTTCTTTCATTAATTAGCATCTTTACTACTCGCAGCACCAATTATTTTCACACTTTTTCTTTCATTAATTAGCACCTTTACTACTTGTGCCAGCGGAGCAGAGAGCACTGGGGGTGCCCTGCACCACGCTGAAAACTCAGGGGACACAACCAGTGCCAACGTCCCCGTGTGCCCGTACCTGAAGGTGCGCCTGCTGGCAGGTGACCGTGACCGGCAGCACGAGGAGCCCGAGCTGGACCTGCTCCGGGAGCAGTAATGCAAACTGCCCCTGGAAAGGGCGCTTCTCCTCAGGCACAGCTTGGTGTCGCCGTGCTCCTCCTCCTCCTCCTCCTCTTCCTCCTCATCCTCCTCCACGGGGGAGCCGCTCTCACTGCAGCTGTCCTCAAAGACGGTGTCGTACTCGGGGGTCTTGCAGAAGACCATGTCCTCGTCATCGAGGGCACTGTCCAGAAAGCCAAAGTGCTTTGTTAAGCTGGCTCGGATCTCCTGGTCTCTCAGCTGCTTGACGCCGTCCTTCCAGAGCATCTCGGCGCCCGTGTCCTTGCCGAGCTCCAGCCCCTGGTAGTGGGCGGCCGGGACCCTCCTCTTGTGCTCCGTCTCCAGCTGGCTCGGGGGCTCCCACGACTTGAGCACCTTCCTCTGCAGGGCAGGCTCGGGTTTCAGCACCTGGCAGTAGTCGTGGTCCCCGAAGGAGCGGGAGAAGGGCCGCTTGAGCACGCCCTGCTGCTCGGGCAGCGCCCGCGCCCGGCTCAGGTGGGCGAACAGCTCCGTCCTCTCCGGGTGCTTCCTGGGCGCTTTCTGCGAGGCTGCCGCGTCCCCGGGGCTGGGGGCCATCCCCTCCTCCTTCCCGGCCTCCTGGGGGATGTCTGGCTTGTACAGGTCCTCCTCGGCGGGTTTGTATGGCGGAGTGGTGGGCGGTGTGAGACCTGGAGCCCCCAAACAAAGGGCAGGAGTCAGCTCTGCCCTCCCTGGCCTGCCCTCTCCCACCCCAGTCCTGGCTGCCCCCACAGCCTCGTCCAGGGGCACCTGGGGGAACAAGAAGGATGCCTTGATCCCAGCAGGGAGCAGAGGGCTCTCCCTTCCCTCCTGGCGCATGCAGGGCCCCCCTGAACATCTCCTCCCACCCCGAAGGCATTCCCCCGAGCTGCTGCTGGTGCTCGGATGTGGCAGCGCACAGCAGGCTCCTGTGTCTGCACTGTGAAGGGGATGAAGGTGCCCCCTTGGCTGGGTAGGCTGGAATGATGACTCCAGTCTGAATTTAGGGTGAATGAGCTCTCTCCTAGAGTACATTTTTACAAAACTAAAGAATTCAAAGCATGTCCTACCTGCTGTCCCACACAGCTCCACGGTCAGCATTGGCTCAAAGTTTCTCTTCCCAAAGGTTGGGTCACTGGAGAAGAGCAGAAAACCAGGAAAGTGTTTAGGTGAACACAGCCCCAAAGCCCAAAAGCAAGCTGAGAAAAGATTTCCCACAAGTGAACCCTCCCACTTTGGCTGGTGCCTGACATGAGTTACCCCACAAGGGCAGTGGGGTGAGCAGCTCCAGGGCACACACAAAACGCCCTGCCCTGGGCATGGGACTGTCCCAGCTCCTCGCACCCTGTGCTCTGCAAACACAGCTCCCTGTGCTGCCTGCAGGGGCCCTGCCCAGCCACACAACCCCAGGCAGTTCCCAGCCCCAGAACGGTTCATCCGGCCCCACCTGCACTTACGTTTGTGCCAAGGACAGCGTGAGACACCTGGGTGTTTCTGAAAGGCAGGAGAGAAGCAGGTTACCAGTGGGGCTGTACCCCTGCAGTGCCCACTGAGGGCTTTGCCCACCTGAGAGGGACTGGCAGGGCTGAGCCACTCCTGCACTTGCAACTTGCTGGGGTTTTGGGGTACCACTGCTGCTGAACCCCAGAGCCCAGAGCCAGGGAGATCTCACAAGGAAAAACCTGGAGGGATGGGGCAACCTGGTCCCTGCTGGGTTATGGTCACACCAACTCCTCCACCTCGTTATAACCATGGAGAAACTGAGGCAGAAGATACCCATGGATTGAAAAAGCACCCCAAAAGTGAACAGACCCCCAGCTGCCCACGCATGGGACCCCACAGCCAGGCAGCACGGGGGGCTGCTCACAGCTCTCCTGCCAGCTGAGTGCCCAGCACCCGGGCAGCATCAGTGACCCACGGCAGGGATGGCACGGGCAGCACAGAGG